CAATAGAAAATATACTCAGAGGTCCTCAATTAAAATCAGTTCTGGTATACTGTAACTGTTGAAATTTTTCTCCCAAGAGATATTCAATTTCTATTGTCCAGTTTCATTCATAAGTGATGCTATGACTTTTTCTAAGCAAAATATAAGATTAACGAGAGCAATTATTCACACTATACTGCACCATTACTTAATTTACAGATAATCTTGCTTCAGGAAAATCCTGCTGAGCTTCTCCATACACACGGGTTCCTACTCCTCCACAAACAAGGCCATTCTGTGTTGTCAGCGTTTTTGTTCACTCATTAATAACCTCAACAAAGAATAACCACAGAACTTATATGCATGTATGTATGGACAATGGACATGAACAACAAAAGTGGGGATGGGGGAGGAAGTCAGTGGGTGAAAAAGGGGAAACATCTGTAACAAAAATAAATTAATTAATTAAAATAAATAAATAAAAATAAAATAAGAAAAGAACAAGGAGCAGTCCTAAAACCTCGGGTAAAACCTATAGACTGGCAGACGTGAAATGCAGCGTTCTCTAGCGGGGAAAATGTGCTAGCATCGGTGACGTCCCGTGATCTACATGCACCATTGGCATCTACTGCACATGGGTTAGAAACACATTCTTCTTTTTCCACCAGAAAGTGAAGGCTTTAAAAAGTAATCTTGCACTATTCAGAGGCCAGAGTTTCCCCAAATTAACCTCACAATTCCACCCACCCCCACAACAACTCAAGTGTTCAAAGCATAGCCCCCAAAGTGTACTATCAGATAGCCTGGGTCTGGGTTGAGGGGTGAAGCTTTACAATACCTGCTGGGGTCAGTCCTTCTCAGTCCTGGCGTTAATTTCAGCAAGGGAAGGAAAAACTGAACTTTCTTCTTCCCAGAAAGCTTGAGTATTTGAGGGCCTCACTCCCACCAGCCCTTCTCATAAAACAATCGCTCCCCTAGAGCAATAGGTTTCACAGGGTCTGCTCATTACAATCACCCGAGGAGCTCTCTATGCAGTGTGTCCAGGCCCAGTGCCAGACCAATTCAATTTGCATTTGCGTGTAGGGCCCAGGCACTCGTATTTTTTCAAAGCTACCACAATGATTTTAATCTCTAACCAAATTGAAAAACACTGCTCCAAAGCAGTGGTTCTTGATCAGGGCAATTCTGCCCACTCTCTGGGAACATCTGGCAGGGTCTGGGGACACTTCTAATTAGTCCCAACTGGGGGTGGCTCGTGGATAGAGCCCAGGATGCTGCTAAGCCTCCCGAAACACACAAGACGATCCCCTCACCACCAACAGTTGCATGGTCCCAAATGTGAACAGTGCTGCTGCTGAGAACTCCCGCCCTAGGGAAGCAGCTCGTGGGAGAAACAGCCCGCTCTCTCTAACTCCACAGATACTCTCACAAAGGAAAACAAGAGGCAGTAGGCAGCTTTCAGGAGCAAGATTTGCAACCCCAACACTCTGTCCTGCAAGGCCGAAGGTAGCTCTGAATGGACCCTGTCTAACACGATGGATCATGTCCTCGTGTGTCTCTCATTGGCCAGGTGACCTTGAAGGGGGGCATGAAGATAGGGTTCACTGGAACGCACTCTCAAATGTCAAACTGAGGATAACTGAGCAATGTTTTCTGAAGAAAGAAGGTAATAAAATAAGGAGTAATGTTCCTTCTTCTATGACCTTTTTCTTAGTTGCTGATAACCAGAACTATGCGCTTCTAGAATTAAAATAAAACTATTCTTTTTATTTTTTGACTGGATTCATAATGCCCCATGATGGACTGACTACTTGCAGAGAAAGACCTGATGATCAGAATCATCTTTGTCCGGAAGGTTAACAATAAAACAGAGCTACTATTGCTAAAAGAACCTGAATCATCTATGACCTGGGCTTAAAAGTTTTCTGTTAAAAAGCAAAGATCTGCCAGCTGATATCTGGAAGCAAAACCTCTTGGTCTCATTGTGGAAAGAAAAACTTTCAATGGAATTAGGTAAATGAATCCCCCATTCTCAAGGAGGCTATCAGTTTGTGGACATTTAGAGCTAGAAGTGGCTATTCAATTACTTAATTTACAAATCTGGATACAGTGACTAACTTGAAAAGACAAATGCCTTAATGTCTAGATGTGATAAGTGTCCAATCTACTTCCTCTTTGCAAATAGGACTCTCTGTAAATTGAAAACAAATAGTTGAATAATAACTTCTAAACAAGTAAATGCATTCATGAGCATTTGGTTTAATTTAAGGGATTTTTTTTCTGTTTGTTTTGTCTTTGCTTTCGTTGTCTTTTAATCAGCTACTAATTGAAAAATGGCTATATAGCCTTAGATATTTTTAAGAGAAAAAAAATGCCTAAAATTCACCTTTGCATCCAGTTGGAAATTAACCTGGCTGTTTTAACCAAAGAAAATTCTTGGAGGTCAAGTTCACATACTACTTAATCCGCTGAGTTTGCAATTGACGGCTCAAGAAGATTTGAAGATGCTCAAGGCACAGTCAACTAAAACAGCAATTATTTTCAATGATGTTCCTTCCATGTGTATACTGTGTCTACCTAGAGGGAATGTAAATCCTTACAAGTAGGACAATGTCCCACCATCTCTGTTTCACTCTACCACAATGCAGGCACATTTTCACTTGCTTTCACCTACTTTCAGTCCATATAAAAACATCCAAAACACTCGCCTTTCACACCAACTCCAAACAGAAGGACTCTGTAAGTGAATGACTCAGTAAACCTGCAATTTGAGATTAACCTTGCTATTGGTTCCTATTTGTTTACAAGTCAACGACTCAACCAAAATGTGTGGGTACTTGTAAGTATAAAAGATCACGTCTTACCACCCATATCAAAAATTAATTGTAATAGCAGGATGAATACAAGCTATCAATGCCCAAGTGTATAGGCTGATGATCAAAGAACACTGCATCACTTCGTTTTTCAATTAATTACTGAAATAAAAACATAATGCAAATGTGCTACAAATATACCTTGGTGAGGATAGCAACTGTCAAAAGATTTGTCACTTTAGAATGAGAAAAGAAGTAAACACAAAAGTTAAACATAGTGACATTCTAAATGATGCATCCAATTTTTAACTACATAAAATTGTTAAATTTTAAGAAACATTTGCCTGGCCCACTAAGTTTACCTGAATCCAGGCAATAATAAGTCAAAATGCAATGTCATCCTTATCTAAAGACATACCTTACTTTATGCCAGGCATCCTTTAAAAGCTGCACCTAACAACTTTTCTTGTAAGTTAAATCGTGCATTGACTGAAAACTCAACAAGATCTTTATTTTAAAAAGTCGATTTGTAGAGAGAATTGTTTTGTAAGTTAACCTCCTGCCCCTAAGTTATTTCCTTTTTTTGGTTCAAAACGGTAAGTTTCTTTAAAATAGTGCACACCATTTACTTCTCATGGTCATCAAAAAGTAATCAAGAAGAATGGAAAAGTCATTAACGTCACCTCCCTGTTAATCCATTACTCCCTGAAGACAAGCTTCATGGTAATGGCCCACCTTTGGTAGTAACTCAACCAAACTATCTTTCTAAATGACTTTCGTCCCGTGGGACGGCACAGCCAAGGCTGCCATGGTCAGGGCAGCAGCTCTGCCTGCCCCGGAAAGAGCGAGGGAGGCAGCAGTGAACTGCTAGGTCCAGCCAGGAGGCTTCAGCACAGCAGAACCGGCTCTTGCTGCCTCCATTTCCCAGCACAAACAACGGATCATCCTATGTGTCCTGCCCTTTCTACTTCCATTTGCACTTAAAAGAGCATTAGATGCATTAGAAGCCAAGCTTCAGGAGTCCACTTTCAGCCCGACAGGAAAAGGATTAGGATGAAATGGAATCCGACAGGTAAATCCCACGTACAGTACTGAAAATGTACGCCATTGTGTCACTGCTAAAATTGGAAGCCACCACCGCTCTAAGCTGACTGCACATTCACTCCTGAGCGGCTTTCAAATACAGCGAAAACCCCACATATTTTGAATGAAAAAAGCCCACAGTTCATAAAACCAATCATTTTAGTTCCGACTCAACCACAGGTAACATAAAAGGACTATGAGGGTTTTTTTTAAGGAATGATTTTTTCTTCTTCTTGAGTTCAAAGTGGTTTCAAAACCAAGATGCAGAAAATTAAACCTCTTCCAAAGGTTTAAAGATTGGGGTTTAGAGCCACCTCAGCAGACGCAGTAGACATTATGCTTTAGAAACCAAATGAGTGTCCAAACACATCTGTACACTTCTAAAAAGGAACATTTAAACAACCAAAAAAAAGAAGATTTATCTTGTAAGGTAAAGGGTGTGCTGTTCAGAATCTGTTTTGGGGAGTTGGGCGTGAGGGTGGAAGGGTTGAGGAGGGAAGGGAAACATCTGATGCATTTAGGTGCAAAGTAAAGATACAGGTTCATGCTAAGGCCCCCAACACTATGAAAAATAATCTTCAAGGTCAAGTAAGACATTTATAGGCATTCAGGCAACCCAGCATCGAGCCTGTTTATGGACACCATAATTCCTTTTAAATGACGTTGCTTTTCATAATAAATATTATTTTCTTCCTGCACATAAACTATTAACTAGATTCAAAAACCTTTGGTCGCCTGTTCCACAAGCGAGCCCCAGTAGGAAACTGCACACAACTAGGAAAACGCTCAAGTTCAAGGTGGAAGAATCTCAGAGGGGGTCTGGTTTTATCTTCGGTACTCAGCCCTCGCCCCGACTAATCAGGGTCCCATGGAATTATTTCTCCTCGCCCTCTCCTGGCCTCCCCTAATCTCCAAGTTTGCTTGACTCACAACTGTATAAATGAAAACCAGTCTAGGGGAAGAGGCACACATCAAGATTTGGGGGCTGATGTCCGCTCCTTCTCCAACCCACCCCCTCCTCGCCAGTGCCTGCACTTTCTAATGTGCACAGAACGCCCTGTATGGGTCAGAACTCTCTACTGAGGCGCCCCAGCCAAAGCAGTGTCCCAGCACGTACTGACCCACCGTTCATGCCACTGTAGACATTGCGGTGATGGGGTGACACGTCCTCTTGCGCCTGCCTGCGCAGCGTGCCCTCCCTGCTGCCGCCGCCGCCGCCGCCGCCGCCGCCTCCGCCGGCGAGTTTGTGATCAGGGCTCCCCCCATAATGCTGTTTGAGGTGCTCGGGGCTGGTGCCCCTGGGTCTGGGTAGATGCTCCAGGCTCCCACCGAGGGCATGTTTTTGAAGGTGCTCAGGGCTCCCTCCGCTGTGCCTGGTGTGCTCGGGGCTGCCCCCAGGCCTGTGCTTCTGGAAGTGCTCCGGGGTCCCGCTCAGCACGTGCTTGGGCAGCGTCTCGGGGCTGCTCCCTGCGTGCGGGTGCCTTTGCTGTTCGGGGCTGCCCTTGCACAAGGGTTTGTGGTGCTCAGGGCTGGGTCCTTTGAGTGCTTTGGGGTGATCTGGGGTCCCAGAGGCCCTGGGTTTCTGTAGATGCTCTGGGCTGGTGCTCCTATGCTTGGCGTGCTCCGGGCTGCCCTCTGCCCGAGGCTTCTGCAGGTGCTCCGGGCTGCCACTGCTCGCATGGTGCTTGTGGTGGTCCGGGCTGTCGGTGCTGCCCGTACTGGAGGTGCTGCTGCCGTCGCCCACGTCCCGCACGTAGGGTGCCGCGGAGGCGGTGAGCTGGCACAGGCTGGCCTGGCTGTCGATGGAGCAGCGGCTGCCCGCGCAGCCGGCGCCCTTCTCCTCGTCCAGCAGCACGCAGAGCTCCTTGAGCTCCATGTTCTCCTTCACCACCTCCTCCTGCTTCACCTCCAGCTCCTTCAGCTTCTGCAGGTATAAGGCCACTTCCTTGTGCATCACGCCAGCTGTGAAGTGGCCCAGTCTCTGCCACTCCCGGGACACCCTCTTGCCTTTCTGCCGGTCGTCATCCAGGAAACAGCAGAGGTCCCTCAGTTCCTGGTTGTCCTCCTGGAGTTTCTGGTTGATGTCCTGGAAAAAGAGACACAACCATTCAGGAGGGTGCACGCGAGGCTGCATCCGGCGAGGACTCGGGGTGCGCGAGCCTAGAACTGGTGAGCTCTCTGCAGGTACCCCAGGACACGAGAAGGTGAGAGGTACTGCAAGTGTGTAGTTATCCAGAAAAGTAAAAATGATAGATATTGGTTATGCTCCCTGCCTAATGCTTTATGTATATGATCCCACCTAGTTTTCTCCAAAACGCTTAGGAGGTAATTGGGGTAGGGAAGGGTAATGATTATTATGGTTCTTTTACTTTTATGGGAGAGAAAACTAGACCTGGCAAAGTTTGTCTGGGCTAAGGTCATCTATTCAGTATTTAGGGAGCAGCCTGTTAATTAACAGAAAATCAATAAAAAAGAAAAAGAAAAAAGAAAAACTCCCCTGTCCCACCTTTAAGGCAGAAAGATGGCTACCTGGATACCAGCCCCAATTCCCCACCAGAGGGAACAGCACAGTTGCCCTCTAGTGGCACTTCAGTCCTGCACATCAAGCCCCCACTGGCCACAATCCCTGCACACCCCCAGGCCTCTCACAGGAAACAGCAACACTGAGCTCTCGGGTGATATTCAAACTCCCCTCCCCAAACTGCACCTCTCAGCAAATGCCACCTCCTCCCATCCTGTTGTTCTTTATAAGAACCGTAGTTGCGCCTGGTATCTCCTGCTCCCTTGCCTTCCACTTCTGGGCCAAAAGAGTCTTCCGAAATCTAACTCCAAAATGTATCTCATCTCATCACTCCCATGCGTAAAATCCTTCATAGCTTCTCACGGCCCTTGGGTAAAGTGCAAACCCTTCAAGTCTCACCAGGCCCCCAATCTTCCGGCCCAGCCGATTTCTCCAACATGAATGGTGAGTCATTGGTTCATTCACAAATATTTAGAAAGCAGCTATCATGTGCCAGATACCAGTCCAGATGCTAGGGGATACGCCAGTGGATGCAGCAAGGACCCCGACATCCTACAGCTTTCATTCTGGTGGGAAAGACTGGCAAAAAGCCAATGCAGAACATAATGCCATGCAGTGAGAAGTGCTGGGAAGAAAACTAAAGCAGATTAAAGAATATCTTTTTTTTTTTAAGAGAAGGCACCTCTGCAGAGAGGGAAAACATTTCAGCAAAGACCTGAGTGAAATGAAGGAGCAAACATTTGGGAGATGGTCCCAGGCAGAGAGAAGGTCAAGCAGAAAAGCCCTGAGACATGTGGCTCAAGGCGCAGCAAGGCCAGCGTGCGGACAGTGGAGCGAGCCAGGAGGACAGGGCTGGGAAAGAGGCCTGAGAGGTGGCAGAGGCCAGGTGCTGCAGGGCCTCATCAGCGCGGGAAGGACTCTGTATTGCTGGTGAGCAGAGGACAAAGGACTGAAATGATATGCTTCATTTTGTAAAGAATCACCATAGTTTTGTATGAAAATAGATTGGTTGGGGTGGGGATAGAAGAGAGGGAGACAGGCTACAGTGGAAGCCCAGAGACCAGCTAGGAGGCTACTAGACTAGTCCAGGTAGAGGGAGATGATGGTGGCTTGCACACATGGTAACAGTGGAGAAGGTAGAACATCCCCTTCCCATGATGCACTGAGCTCCACCAACACTAGCCTTGTTTCAGGGGCTCAAGGGACAAGCCCTTGCCCTCTTCACTTGGAATACTTTCCCCCAGCTTTCTACACAACCTTCAGGTCTTACTTTGTTACTTCCCATAGAAACTGTCGCTGACAACGACCCCAGGCTAAAGGAAGTCCCCTTCTATGCTCTACTATGCTCTACCAAGACCCCTTAGACTTTGCCTCTGTTGCACTTATTACAATTTGTAATCACATGTGGTTGAGGGACACATGGTTGAGTATGGCTACTAGTCATGTATCCAGCCTCATCAGAGTCATGAGAGTGGAGACGGCCGCCCCCCACCATTTATTCTGTTCACTTTTGTGTATCCAGAACACCGCACCCCACCACAGATACCTGAAACCAAGGAATTTTAAAAATTGAGAAGTGCCTGTTTCTGCTCAATTCACACATATAGTAAAAAGGGGTAACTGTTTCTTGAAGCACCGGGGTGTAGTGGGGGTGAAACAGGGGTGGCTACCTAAGATCTCCCCTGCTTTACAAAGCCTGAAAACCTCTGCTCTTCTGACTCCATCAACCAATCCAGAACTAGGGGTAGTCAGAGAACGGACTTAATTCTCTTAAATTTTGATTGATTCCAATACTTCCCCTGATACTGACCAGGAAAATAAACTGGACTACATTTGCCAACCATACCCTGCACCTTCTAACGTCATGAGGCCAAAGATGGGAGGGACATTTAAGGCCTCAGGAAGAAGAGGATCCGTGCAGCTTCGTGTTCAGCTCCAGTGCTAAGTCTTGGCATTACCAACACCTGTTTCCTTGTCTCTATGCTCATCTATTCCTTTGCTTCTCATTGCCACTTTCTGGCCTCAGGCCTGGCATTTGAAAAAGCCTCTCACCTGACCTCTCTGTCTCGGTCTGCCCCTGCCCCTTGGTCTGCCCCATTCCCTCGCCCACTCCAATCCAAGCTCTCTTTGGTCAAACTGATCTCCAGAAGCACTCCCTGCAGGTTAACTCCTGCATATCAACCCTTTTATATCCCTGCACATCACCTCCCCTTTGCCAGGGAAATGAATAAACCCTTGGCCAGGCCAGAAAGGCTTTCTCCTGCTTTTCCACCTTTAGCTTCTTCTATGTGAGCTAATTCTGAACCTTGATTTTGTCTAGTTTTCCAGCTAGAAAATACTATCTTCTCCCTTATATGGACTTATAAGAGGAGAGATTCCACTGAGAAGACTCCCCCAGCCCTAGAATGACACCTGGAGTACAGCAGCACCAGGCATGAATGAGTGAATGAATGAAAGAAAGAATTTTCCCACTCTGCTCACTGCCTGTAAGGCACACTAGCTAGAGCACTCACTAGGCATAATTTTTTTTTTTCTTTTCTAATGTAGATATCTTAGCTTGGAAGGCTGAGTCCACCACACCAATGTCCTTCTTTGCATATTTGACACCCCTGGCATGGTGCTTTGCTTAGAGTGAACACCTAATGTGGATTTATGTACTGACCAACCCTTCAAAGCTCGGGGCCTGTTGTCAAAACAGGATACAGCTCCAGCTACTGAGAAAGGATTTCTTGTGATTATTTGCAGCAAGCCCTACTATGTTGGAGTCTACAGTTATCAGAGAATAAATTATCCCTTGACACTGATGCTTAAGGGGAAATCAAAAGCTGTGGATATTCTGGGAAAATAATACTAAACAAACTTAAACTTTTTAAGCCTCAAAAATGATTCCACATTTAGTTCCATTTCAGGTATTTCATAGAGAGTTCAAGTCATGTTCTTCTTCATCTAACTAAATTTCCATCCGAAAATACTTCCCTCTGACTATCCTACAACGATTCCTGATCACTACCGAACTGGAAAGTAAACAGAGCTTGTACTTCTGGGGTTTCAAGGAGTAAATGCCCTTCCTAAATGGAGTGAAACAAATACTTCTCGAATTCCACTTGGGGGAGAAAGAGATGGGAATGGGCCCACTCACTCTCCTTTACCACATCTTCTTTTTCCTGTTATTCATTTTCTTGGGAATAGTATTTACTCTCCAATTGTGACCTTTTTCCTTTGCCTTCTGATGAACAGCTAAGCAACCAGCTTGATAATGACCTTGTGAGCCAGCTTCTTTAAATCTGCCACGTTAAGAATTGGGCTTTCTTCTTCAAAACACTAAGTGTCCTTTTAACATTGCCACTAGCCACCAGATGTTATCCTTCTGTTGAAAGTGAACTATTAAAAGATTAAACCATCTCATAGCATCCAACCCAAAATTTTATTCCTAAAACTCTCAAGTACTGTATCTGTTGTTAAAGAAGAACTGTCTTATTATTTTTCATCACTGCAGGATGGCAAATTGGTGTTTTTCTGGGAAGCAAAGAGGAAAATTAATGTGCTGCAAAGATCCAGTTCCCCCAAGCCCACCCCCACTCCTAAAATTGCAGGTCAGAGCAGCATGAGTGTTGGTACATGGTCATCAGTGCACAACATGGTTCTCTGGAATCCCTTCCTTACAACATCAGAACCGTAATCTCCTTTCTCCCCCCCTTTCAGGACCATACATTCTAACCAGAGAATATCAACTAGCCAAAAGAACAGAAAGTCAGCCTATTTTGAACATTTACACCTGTATGACCTTAAGAAAGCTCTTTAACCTCACTGGCATTTATTCACCTATGCATCAATACACCCAGTTAGCAGATGAGAATACTGAGGCCCAACCTACCCAAATTGTCAGAATCCAAATCCTTTGTCTCTCCACTGCCCCACACTGCACTGCCCCCCAAATGTTTAAACACAAACAAGTCAGCCAGTGGCTGGACAGTCACAGGTCCCTTGAAGAAAAAGAACTGATGCTCCCATCTCCCCATGTCTTCAGCTGCAGTACTACCAAGTGGCCTTGAAAATGTTTACATCCAATTTCAAAGACAGCTCACAAAGGGCATTTAGAAAAAGAAGTGTTATGGCCTTGATTGCCCTAAATTCACAGTCCTCAATTGAGAATCCCAAACCATTAGAAGCAAAGGAAAAAAACACCTTTCCTTGCAGAATTATTCAGCCAACTGCATTTACAGATCACTATGGTGTCCAGAGAAACTCTGAGTTGAGATGATGAAAAGAAGGGAGAAGATTTGTCTCTCAGCAAGGTCTAAAAGAGCCTCCTGAGAGGTGGGCTGGAGGTCTTGGAAATATCACCTTACAGCTGTCCAGGGATGATGGGAAGGAAGAGTAGAAGCTGTGTCAGAAAGTAACCAGACCCTATCACTTCTGAACTTGATAAGGATGTGGGATGGGATATCGTTTGATACCAGGTCACAAAGCGAGACCACTAGGAGACTCCCCTACTTGGAGTATGACTACACTTAACTGACTTACTAAGTATTTCTCTGAATGAGGCTAGCGGAATGAGACCAGGCCCCCCACCTGTGAGAACACACTGACCCACACAGACATAGTCAATCCACATAAGCTGAAAGAACTTTCAAGTATTTCTGAGCTATTATGTCAGTGCTCCATACTATTAATTGACTAATTAATTTAAAATTCTTTCAAGTCACATTATAGTCCAAACCCTGGAATAATATCAATTTGGGGTGTTAGAAACTATACATTTTATTTCAACCTTACCTAAGAAACCTAGATCCTGGGGATGTGTCCTTTCCCAGTGAAAATAACTACCCTTTTTGAGTCAAGCCCAGCATTAAGCCTTCTACATTATTATAACTTATTGTCACCACCCCCTTGGAGATGGTTATTTTTTTTAATGTTTTTTAATTTTCAACTACAGATGACATTAGTTTCAGGTGCACACCCCAGTGATTAGACATTATATAACTTACTAAGTGATCATCCTGATAAATCTCATAGCCATCTGACACCATACACAGTTATTAGAATATTATTGACTATATTCCCTATGCTGTATTTTACAGCCCCATAACTATTTTGCTACTACCAATTTGTACTTCTAAATCCCTTCACCTTTTTCACTCATCCTCCCAACCCTGCTCCAATCTGGAAACCATCAAAATGTTCTCTGTATCTATGAGTCTGTTTCTGTTGTGCTTGTTCATTTATTTTGATTTTTAGATTCAATTGTTGATAAATATGTATTTATTGCCATTTTGTTGTTCATATTTTCTATCTTTTTTTTTTTTATTTTCTACTTCTTAAAAAAGAGCCTTTAATATTTCATGTAATATTAGTTTGGTAGTAATGAACTCCTTTAGCTTTTTCCTGTCTGGAAAGCTTTTTATATGCCCTTTGATTCTCGATGATAGCTTTGCTGGGTAGAATAATCATGGTTGTAGGTCCTTGCTTTTGATCACTTTGAATATTTCTTGCCAATCCCTTCTGGCCTGCAAAGTTTCTATTGAGAAATCATCTGACAGTCTTATGGGAGCTCCCTTGTAGATAACTAACTGCTTTTCTCTTGCTGCTTCTAAAATTATCTTTCTGTCCTTAACCATTTTCATTTTAATTATGTGTCTTGGTGTGGGCCTCTTTGGGTTCATCTTGTTTGGGACTCTCTGTACTTCCTAGACTTGTATGTCTATTTCCTTCACCAGATTAAGGAAATTTACCATCACTATTTTTTTTTTTTTTTTTTATCCTCACCCGAGGACATTTTTCCATTCTTTGTACAGATAGAGTGGGAGGGAGAGAGTGGGAGGGAGAGAGAGGAAGGAAGAGAGAGAAAGAAACATCCATGTGAAGGGACACATCGAGTGGCTGCCACCCGCACGACCAACCAGGGCCGGGGACAAACTGCAACCGAAGTACGTGCCCTTAGCGGGAACCGAACCCGGGTCTCTCCTGACCGCAGGCCGACGCTCTAACCGCTGAGCCAAACCGGCCAGGGCCATCACTATTTTTTTAAATAGGTTTTCAAATTTTTGTTCTTTTCCTTCTGGCACCTCCATGATGCCAGTGTTGGCACACCTGATGTTTTCCCAGAGTCTGCTTACACTATCTTCATTTTTTTTTTCTTTTTGCTGTTCTCATTGGGTGTTTTTTGCTTCCCTATATTCCAAATGGCTGTTTTGATTCTTGGCTTCATCTATTCTACTGTTGATTCCCTGTAAATTATTCTTTATTTTAGATAATGTATCCTTCATTTCCAACCAATCCTTTTTTAGACTGTTGAGGTCCTCACTAAGTTCCTTGAGCATCCTTATAATCAGTGTTTTGAATTTGCATCTAGTAGATCACTTGTCTCCATTTTGTTTAGTTCTTTTTCTGTTTTTTTCTGTTCTTTCTTTTGGGACATGTTTCTTTGTTGCCTCATTTTGGCAGCCTCCCTGTTTGTTTCTATGCATTAGGTAGAGCTGCTACATCTTCCGGGCTTGGTAGAGTAGCCTGATGTAGTAGGTGTCCTGTAGGATCCAGTGGCACAGCCTCCCCTTTCACCCAAGCTGGCCACTCTAGGTGTGATCCCCCATGTGGGCTGTGTACATCCTCCTGTTGTAGTTGAGCCTTGATTATTGTTTTCATGTTAATGGGAGGCACTTACTCCCAGGCCAGTCGACTTCAAAGATAGGCTGCAGCCACCTTGGAGGATCTGTATAGGGGCCCACCGCAAGGAGCAGGACTTACTTCAGTGGGGCTCTGGTGCCCACTAAGTCCACCCCTTTACTGTGTCACTTGTGGAGGTAGTTGGGTGGTACTTGGACATGGTCTAAAGCTGTCCACCAGGTTCACTGACTCTGGGGCCACCCAGGAGGGGCAGGTCAAGGTCAGCCACTGCCTATGTCCTGCCCGGGGCCACCCAGCATGAGCTACGAAGTGACCACAGATGGCTACTACTTTTGCTGGGTTTGGAGGTGCCCAGAAGAGGCCAAGCTGTGAACTAAGGCTGCTGCCACTTGTATTGGGCCTGGGGCCACTCAGAAAGTGGCACAGGGCATGCTGAGATGTTGCTTGAGAAATTTTAGGAAAGCATGAGCCAAGACAGGTCATTCGCATGAAAAACAAAAACAAAAACACTGGGAACAGCTTGGGTAGGCCCAAAAGTTGGTGGGGCAAGGTTTCAGGAAATCACCAGGGCAGGGCAAACAATGATAGCCAGATCAATGGAGACTTAGATATGGCACCTACCTGCTGGCTCTGTGGGGGAAGGGCTCAGAAGAGGATCAATGGCCTCAGCTAGCACTTCTGTCTGGGAGAAAGCTGTTCCTCTAGCTCTTGCCCTGATGCCAGACAATTCAGTTCCTCCCCTATGTCCCTGGTGCCTTTCGAGTTGCTGCCCCAGTGCTGGAGCTCAGAGGGAGTGAATCCAAGTAAATCTGTGAACTGGTCCTTTAAGAGGAACTGCCTGGGATTCCAGCAGCCCTCCTCAGTCAGCCACAACCCCTTCTGGTTTTGACGGCCAGAAGTTCCGTGCACCTCTCTTCCTAGCACTGGAACCCTGGGCTGGGAGGCCAGGTGTGGGGCTGGGAACCCTCGCTTCTCCCAGTACCTCCACAGCTGAGATATCCATCCCAATTTTTCTCCATCACACCTGGATGTGGGACCAGCCTGTTTGAGTCTCCGCCCCTTCTACCAGTCTCAATGTGGTTTCTTATTTAAATCCTTATTTGTAGGACTTCTATTCAGCTAAATTTCAGGCAGTTCTGAGTGATGGTTGTTCTGTAGTTTAGTTCTACTTTTGATGTCTGGAGATGGTCATTATCATTGCATTTTATTGATAAGTAAAACAAGGCTCTGAGAAATTAATTACCCAAGCTCACCCTCCTGGAAAATGAGGATTTTAGACACAAATCCACCTCTGAGATGATCTTCCCACTACATTAGCCTGCCTAATCCCACAAGAGTCTGGTACTTAATAAATACTCCATTAGTAATGAATGAAGCCAAGGAAAAGAGTAAGCCTTAGGATTTTTCTGACTGTGGGATCTTCCTAATTGCACCAACTCTAGGAAGCATATGACAGTCAGTTGAGGACTCAGAAGAGGACCATCTCCACCTGGATGGGGCCCAGCACTCAGGTGAGCATCTAGCATTCCGCTCCTCCCACTGCCTAGCCCCAGAATCCCAGAGCTGGAGTGCTGAGGCAATGAAGAAGTGTCTACAGCCTGAGAAGTGGGTGGGAGTGGAAAGGGGACAAGAACAGCATGTGCCTGCGGGAATTTGCTCCCTAAGGTCCCTGCAGTGATTGCGTTTGTGTCTGGCTTCCTATAAACAGAAGCAGAACAATGAGAGGAAGGAATACCAGGAGGCACCAGAGCAAGCCATGAGGAGAGGAAGTTCGCGGTGCACGCCCGCAGGGCGGTTCCCCGCCACCGGTGTGCTGCAGCCTGTCGGGCAGCACGCTGCTGGCACACGCAGAGCTCTCCAAGGAGAAAGAAAGTTGGGAGAAGGGATGTTGGTTTTCTTTTTCATTTCTCTTTCCTAGTAGCAAAGCAGGAGTGCTGGCTCAAAAGGCAAGCATCGCTGACTGACTCTTAGGGTACCTTTTCAAAGCCCTGCGCCTCCCATACTGAGTCCTTTTGCTGCTCTCACATGGGAAATGGAATTAAAATCAAACGGGGGGGGGGGGGTTACATCGGGGGCAGGCAACCCCAGATAACATCATCGGAATTGAGGGAGAAGGAAAGCACAGGAGCAGGTAGAAAATGTGAAGGCAGAGATATATGCCAGCTCCGAGGGTGGGGCCCGCAGCTTCTCCCCGGCCCTGGCCAACCCCTCTCCCCAGCACCGGCACCCAGTTCTCACCCTCCGCCAGCCGGAGAAGTCGTGGCGCCAGAGCAGCCGTTCCGTATCCCGATCCCCGGGGCGAAGATGCCCTGGACTAGCTCCCTCGCTGGCCTTTTTCCCTGACGGTAGGTAGCCCAGTACTGTAACCCAAAGCACTGATTTTCCTGCTCTCTGGGAAATTAAAGCTTCTGCGTGTCCATCACCTCATCCCAGCCTTTCAGCATCCTAGGCGCCCGTTCCTCCCGCCTCAGAGGACCCCAAGAGGGTGTCCCATATGGGAAACAGCAGGGAACGAAACGCCTCCAAAGTTTGTAAAAGTTTCCAAAGATCGGGGATGGGGAACAGGGGGTGCCGACCTGGAGAATGGGGAAGATCACCTGTTGATGGAGGGAGGGAAAGTTAGCCTGGCCCCACCTCCCAGGGCGCCCCGCTCCCCGCCCCACGGAGCTGAGCTGCTCTCCGCCCCGCGCTCACCTTGAGCCCGCGGATCTCGCCGAGGTGCAGCTGCAGGCGGCGGTTCACCTCGCGGATGAGGTTGCTGTGGTCCAGCATCGCGCTCACCTTCTCGGCCTCGGCGCGCCGCAGGCTGCGGATCAGCTCCTCCTTGCTCCACTGCAGCAGCTCCTCGTCCGACACTTTGGACAGGTCCTCCACGGCCGCGGATGGGCCAGCAGAGGCTGGGGGACAACTTTCCGCCGCCGCCGCTCCGCTTCCGGCCGCCTTCGACATGATATCCGCGCGGTGGCAGGTGCGAGTGGGTGGAAGAAGCAAAGCGACACCCAAAGGCGCGGGCGCGGAGGGGCCGCCTCCGCCCACAGCCCTGTGCGCTTCGGCGAGTCAGCGGCACCGTCCGGGGGCCGCTGGGCTGGGGCGACAAGGGTCGCGCTGGGCGGCCATCCTACCTCGCCATCCTTGCGCGCGCGCCCGCGCACCCCCAGGGCCGGGCAGTTACCCGCGCGCGGCTGCTGAGGCGCGTCCCAACTCCGCGCAAGTCCATGGTGAGGGGCGCTGGGGCGCTGGCGCCGCCGCGGGAGAACCCGGAGGAGCGGGGCGCGGGGGGAGGCGTCGAGGGGGCCGCACCCCGGTTCCCCTGACCTCTCAGTCCTAGTGCGAGACTGCCGTCCCCCACACTCTGGCACACACGCGTGCGTTTCCCCCTTGCCCAGCGCAGCACGCGGCTTCTCCCCTCAGAGTCGTTCAAGGGCGCGCCGGACTCCGCGGCCCCCCAGCTGCTCCTGCTGCGCCGCCGCTGCTGCCCAAAGGCTCGGCGCGGCCAGCGGCCGGCTTGCTCCTCGGGTCGCCCAGGCTGCGCCCGCTGCCGGCTCCCGGGCTGCTTAGGGAGGCATTGGATTCGCAGCGCGGAGCCGTGGGGGAAAGGGGAGGGGAGGTTGGGGGGCGGGGGAGGCCGGACCGGCAGGAGGAGGAGCCTGGAACCCAGGCTGTCCGCAGCCAGCCGCACCTCCCGCGCCGGCCCAGCGCTGCGGCCGCTCTACAGCATCCCGGGCTCCGGGAGCGCGCTCCCCGCTATCCCGCCGGGGAAGGTCGGGGGCGCGGCTCCTCCAGCGCCGGGACGCTGATGGGGCAGGAACGGGGAGAGGTGTGCCGGACTTTGGGAGGCTCGCGAGCGCCACTGTGTGGCCAAAGAAGCTCCCTCCGCACACCAGGTTGGTCACCGAGCAGGGGAAACAACCGCTGACCAAAATGAGGGAAGCTTAGTATTTAAAGGGATTGTGATTCGGGAAAGATGGGTAGCAGGACCTGAGGGGTAACAATCTGTTTGTACTTTGGAGAATGAAAGAAGAGATCCTTGGGGGGAGGGGAGAGCAGTTAGGGGTGATGTTGGAAAGGTAACGTTTTAAAAAAATCCTAACACTCTGAAAAGGGGAAAGAGAGGCTTGGGGGCTCTGCTCTTTAGGCCTTTGTCTTTTCTAAAAATCCACTACTTTGCTAAGAAGCTTCGGGGGAAGAAACTGGATATTTTAAATTTTTATATGAAAAAGCCTTAAAGGAAAAATAAAATACCTTCATCTACTACATCCTGAGGCCTGGATTTTAAGGTCAGGTCAAGTCCCCTCCGAGCAAAGCATGGCCCTAGCCTACAGGGAGATTTTCATTTTCCTCCGTGCTGCTAGCTACCTGTACTTAACTGGTTCAGCTCTTTATGAAAGGGGGTGCCCTGTGACCCTGGGTTTCTGTCTTTGAGCTACAAGAGTTCCTTCTACCCTCTTGTGAAGGTGCATGGAATCTTCTCTGAGCTGTAAACGTTTTCTGCACTTGGTCCCAGGCATGTATCTGGGTGAATGCTCTCCTCTCCAGGACGGAGACAGAGCCAGAAAAGTGCAAGGATGTACCCCCTGCAGATCTTCATGAAACCAGGGTGCAGAGAAAATCACCCCCACCCGAATGCACATTTAAATTAGAGTCCCTCCACCAGCTAGTCAATATGTGTCCCCTGATAAAGCTGCCACCTGTTAAGAAATAATCAGTTGGGAACTTCTTTTTTTTTTTTTTGTTATCCTCACCCGAGGACATTTTTGCATTTATCTTCAGATAGAGCGGGAGGGGGAGACGACCCACGGAGGAAGAGAGAGAGAGGAACAGATGTGAGAGAAACACATCTGGTTGCCACCCACATGACCCCAACCGAGGCCAGGGATAAACTGCAACCAAAGTACGTGCCCTTAGTGGGAACTGAACCTGGGACTCTCTGGTCCGCGGGCTGACGCTCCAGACGCTGAGCCAAACTGGCCAGGGCTCAATTGGGAACTTCTTAGACCTAGCTTCCTGGAGAGCAAGGAAAGGTGATGCTGCCCTCTGACCCAGATAGCCTTAAATTAGGTCCCCTCAGTTTGACTAAACTTTAGACAGGTTTCTTCCTGGCTGTAGGTCCCTGATCACCCTTTTTTTTTTTTCTTTTCTTTTACAGCATTTACTTTAGAAAACTTTCCACTATAAATGATTTACGGCTCTTGAGATGTAAATCTCCAGCTTCCTGACAGTTTTACCACCCAGGAATGTTTCTCCAGGGCAGGGAAGCCACCCCTTTGAGATGGAACCATCCGGGTATATATCCCTGTCTGTCAGGAGGTAGAAGCCTGACTTCCAGGAGTGCTGTTAGCAAGCACAGATGGTCTGAACACAATGACCAACTCCTCTTCCAGCTCCCACAGCCCTCCAGTACTTTCCCAGTAGCTCATCTCAGGGTTCAAGAACCCTCTTGCCCTTTTATGTCAGTAGAGTTAAATTCAGTCTCTCTCCCACTGCAATAGTCTTGAATAAACTATGTTTAACTATGTCCAGTGCAGTATTTCTTTGACATCTTCCTCTCATATACACAGAAGACTCTCCTCAACACAGTTCTTAAGACCGCTTTTGGCCACAGGAAGGGCAAATATAAGTCAGAAAAATGTGAGTCCTGTCTCTGTCACTTGTTCTTCTCTTTGAACAAATCCTCTAACCTCAGGCAGCTAATGAGATAATATATATGAAGTGCTTTATCACGTCGTTACCTGCAGAAATGCAACTTTATCATTACTGGTAATACATTTGGGCTCTTTATCTGAAAATAGTGATCTCTACATCTTTTTTTTTTTCTCACCATCACAGTTTTGTTCTTCCAGCCCTATTCTAAAACAAAACAATAGGCCCTTTCGCTGCTAACCCTCTCAGATGAGTTAACACTTAAGTAGATATTATAAGGCAGATAGATAGCTGAGAGGAGGAATTGGACTTGTGTTGGAAGGACAAGGAAGAAAGAAACGGAAGACAAATTTCTCCACAAATGTATGCACACTAGCAGATGCTTACTGTTGGACTAGATTACCTTGATGAGATTTTAATGTTTTGAAAGGGACCAAAAGTTTTGCCTTTGGGGATATTAATTGTAAGCTGTTTGTTAAGAAACAAAAGACTCATTGAAAAATAAAAAACAGACCAAGGACCTTTGACCCTTCCAACCTTTCCTGCCCAAGTGATTCAGATAGAAAAACTAGGAAGTTCCCTTAGCCTAATTTGAATTATAAGAGGGCTTTAGGCAGGGGCTTGTTAGCTCAATATCCTTTGTCCATAGTTTCTGAGCTGCCCAGCGAGAATTTGTCTGCTCTGTGTGATCCTTTCTGCCTTTTCTACCTGTAATTCCGCCCATTCTCACTTCGGAAATGTAGGACCCCTACCCACCCCTCACTCCCACTTTTCTCCTTTGTCCAAAGTGTCACGTATACTAAATGTTGCCTTGCTGCCTTTGGAATGCTCATGCATATGTGAATTTGCCATGCACATGCATTACAATTTTATTTTCTCCTGTTAAACTGTCTGTTGTTATTATTATTAGCCCAGCTACAAGAAATTAGAAGGTAGGAAGAAAAATACTAGCTTATTTTTGTCCCCACAGTTTCTAAATTTGGTCATTGATCAGGGTAATTATTAAATAAATAATGTTTCTTTATGTTGTTAAGGTCCTGTGTGGTGACAGGAACTTTACTTGGCTATCAAAAACAGACAAAAATAGTCACTTAAAAGAAGGCATTTATTTTCTCTCATATAACCGATCTTCTAAAGAAGGCTGATGAGGGCTGGTATGGTGTCTTCATGATCTTGTCAAAGATTTAGGCTCCTTTTCCCTGCTCAGCCATCTTTAGCATAGTTGCCTCCTGGCCACAAAATAGTTGCTGGAGCTCCAGCCATCCATCTACACTTGAAACAGAAAAAAGATAGGAGCAAATGGTAAAAAAGAAACAAAACACATGCCCCTATAAAAGTTTTTCTGGTAATGCAGCCTAGTGAATCTTATTTATATCCAGGGCTTGCCATATGACCACCTCCCCGCTGCAAGGGAAGCTAAGAAAAAAAAAATTTTTTTAATTAGCACATTAATGCCACCAGTAAAATTAGAGTTGTTTTTGATAAAAATAAGAAAATAGATGTTGGATAGGCAACTGACAATTTTTATGCAAACCTTAGCAGTGGACTCTGTATACAGTAAATGGAGGTATCTAAAAACCAGCCATAAATAACAGTCATTTAGTCCTGGTGGTTTTATCACATATGTTGCTTTGAGCTAACTGTTCCACTCCAGCTCACTATTGCCAAGCCTGAATTCTCACTGCGTCTCCCTGACCCGCCCAACTGGTCCTTCTGACTCCGGCATCACCTCTCTCAGATCTGCTTTCCACACAACTGCACAGGTGAACTGCTTAGTCAAGTCCAGCCGCTTCACCCCCAAGGTAGAATCATGGCTCATAATTCTTCACAAACTTCCCTGTATAACTCATACCACTCTGGCACTGGACTTTGCGGTAGCTCCCATGAGGGGCAGAGTGTAACTCCCTTCCCTGATGACACTGTGCTTGGCCGCAGGACTTGCTTGCTAATGGAATGTGGGTGTATCTGAGGGCGTATCCTTTCTCTGATGAGGTTTCCAGAGACATCTGTCTGTCTACTCACCCTCCTGGGCTTCCACACCTCACTGGGAGAAGGGCTAACCCTGGGTAGCTGCTGCTCCTTCAGCTTGGCCTCACGCAAGGTCACCCCAGGCAACCTGAAGACCTGCACCCTGAAATATAACCACTCTCCCCTCACAGACTCACAGATCTGAGTGCAAGAATATGTGATTTTTGTTAAAGCCACTGATTTTTGGGAGATTTATTGTGCATTAACACAGTAGTTAGCAAATGCAGCCCCCCTGTCTAAATCCCTTAAGTGACATGTCAGTATCTTTCCAAAGAGAAAAAAAAAAAGGCCACATTCCCCACATTCCTTAGCAGAGCGCATAAGGCGAGCACAGTCTGGCCCCTGCCTACGATTCCAGCTCCACTGGCCACCAG